AACTAATTGCTTAAATACACATGGTAACGATATTTTCACATGTGAAAATATCAGTTTTTTGAAAAGGAGAAATATGGGTATTTTATGGATAATTATATGATAAATAATGCTATTCGAGTATTATCAAAAGCATTAATAATTCATGAGGAAAACACGACAGAAATCACGACCATGAAGAGTGTTGTAAATCAGATACAGAATCGTGTTTATTTGCATAAACTTTAACTTGGATTTTCTTGGGCAGATTCACTTTAATTTAGAAAATTTTAGTGAAACACAAAGGAACTAACCTAGACGTTTGATAAGTCATATACAGTATTCTTGCCGTGTTGTATCCGATATACAAACTCGAGGCGTAGCCGAGAGTTTGTATATCGGATACAACGCGGACACGAATACTGTATATATTACATATATATCTGTATGATATATAATAATCAATTATTTCAAGAACGGAAAGAACGTATTAAATGCGAGTAAATATAGACAATATAAAATGAAGAAATACGAATAAAAAAAATATTAATGAATAGTTGAGCGAGACAACCACCTCGACTTATGGAATCAGTCAAAAAAATAACGCGAAAAAAATGAAAGTTAACTCTAAAAAATATTTGTCAACTTTTAGAATCGAGTTACGGAAATAGCGCGGAACTCGGAAAATAAGGTTCAATCTGTTGGGTTCGAGTTACGTGACTCGAGTTTGATTTCAACGCTGTTAGTCATCGAGTACGCACTGATGTCAAAGCGGGCGTGGCCCCCAAAACATGGGTGTGTCCGAACGCGCAACTCGAAAAATGTGTAACTCGAAAATCGTAACTCGAAGAATACCTTATCTCTGACGTGAGCATGACATATTGTAACAGTATATGATATATTTTGTTACATTAAGAAAATTATGAATAGAAAATTTAAAACTATTGAAAGAAAGTCTTCCCTGATTTACCGATAGAAGACAAACGTAGCTGCTTTTTCTACAAGTAAAAATATGCGATCCCGGTTTGCTAAAAACACAGGCTGAATTCTTAAATATTTTCAAAGCAAAYAAATGGCGAATATTTGGTTACTGTRTACTCCCTTTYAYATTTCATTCRACATTWAAAYAAATAATCTAAAGATATATTAAAMCTAAWGAGGGAAAGTCMGTTTTCTGTTCATTCACGAGTTTTGCTTTGAAATCAAGCTGGAACCCTGTGGTGTGCACACGGACGGATGTACGTGCGGTCGGAAGTGACGAAATGAAGCTATGAAAAATCAACCTCATTGGTTTACAAATTTTTCTTAAGTATGGTGTTTAGCTCACGTGGGCCTTCGGCGCGCCCGGGAGCTCCGCTAAKWTCTGATCTAAGTCACTGCATGGCTTACTTACGGACTGAACTGGAATTTAGTGGAATATACCAGGAGAAACCCCTCTAAGGAGAGACCTAAGAAACCCTACAGGAGTCGTTCRACCCAAGTYCCCAGAAGTGAKAGGCAAGTGACCTACTTTTAAACAACCCTTGATCTRATCACTTGAATTTTCACTCCGGTAGTTGRCTTGGCTTGATTATTATTTTACRCTCCTTAATWGTAAAAATTATAATTTCTTGACATTACCTGCTTCTGCAGCACTTATTAGTACACGACGGGCATTTTCTATTTCCTCTTCACATATCTCAACACTAAATTCGACGTCCTGGCCACCAAATAGCGTCTTGACTTCTTCTGTCATGAATATTTTCTCGAGATCTTCTTTCAGTTGACCTGACTGGTATCTTCAAAGAAAAGAAAAATATACTAGATTTTAAT